AAAAGAAAGAAGTTGTGAAACAAAGTAGAAGCATATATAAGGCAACTTTTTGAAGTCATACTGAAAAAATATTTAACTTTAAAGTTAACTACCCTTAACTTTATCCCATGAGATACTCATAATTCAACTCAAAAAAGTTTTCTAGTCTAAATTTGTGATGGTCACTCAGAAATATTCATTTCACATCAGGATAACGACAGAAACGAGAAGTTGGGATGACACCATAATAACTTACAAGACAGCAATTAACATTTTCCCAATATGACAATTATAACTGGCAGTGTGTGCAAACAAACACCAAGTCACCTTCAACCATGTTTCATTAAGGAGCTCAAATGTTTGGAAAAGCTTATGTACATAAGAAATTGCACGCATTAATTGCAAATCCACTGATTGTTGGTTTAAGAACCAAGACTACGTTCCGGGTCATAAAGAAATACTGCGATCACTGAAAGCAAGAGAAATAGCTGAAACTAAAGGTAGTTTTCAAATCAGGATAATTCACAAAAGTACAAACCATTAAGGTAGAGTTCATATGCCTAAAACATTTTTTGCCCAAGTTTTGTTTTTTTCTTACTACGAACATATCAAAAGAATAATGATCACACAGGGAAAACCCCAGCAATCAGCTTCTTTGATAGATTGTTAATCTTGTTTGGATTCAACAGGCTCCCTAAAAATCTGGGCAAAAGATAGGAGTGAAATATAAAAATTCATCATTCCGAACAGAGTTCTCGTCACTGAACACAGAACTCACGCAGGCCGTTTCTGTCAGCCCGCAGACAGCATTTCCGAACTTTGCCAGCTAATTCCTTGCTACATCAGAAGTGCTGTGAAGGTGAAAGAGGAGCCAGAAGCCCAGTCAGAGACAGACCATCCCCGGGGGGTTTAATAGTCCCTCTCTCTTTGGGTTGTGGGATATGGGGCAATATTCTAAATCGTTTCCAATGAGAATATTCCACTCCTAGAAGCAGAAGATGAGGCTCCGAATATGCTTTACGAACTGTGAAGCTACACAAATGTTCCATTTTTATTTTTACTTCTATTGACCATTTTAGCCCACAGAGTTCTCATTTCATGTGGCTTTTTTCTCCTGAGAACAGTGCCTAAGTCTGTCTGGAGAAAGAGAATCTGGCAGGCACAATTTGCACATCCAAGTCTGCATTTTCCAAAAGTCTGTTATCTTGGTTCTTTTCTGTTCTAAGGGAAGAGGTTTTGTGTCTTTGGGTTGGTCTGGTTATAGAAGGACAGTTTTCAACACAAACAAGGCGAGGCCAAGTCAGTAAACAAAGTCAGATCAGACCATGCTCCAGAAGCCCTGCAACTGGACTCTGGCATTTCCAACTCCACATATCCCGCGCTCTCTCTTCTCCCAGAAATGTTCCGAAATCCTCCACCAAGTTGTTATCAGTGCAACGCCTTTGGTTTAAAATACCCCAAGATTTCTCTTCTTAAGTTAAGTAAATGCCTATCTTTAACAGACATTAATTTCTGCAGAGGAAAGCAGAAGGCATCTTCCATTCCTGAATTACAGCATATCCCTAGCCATGGAAATCCAAAATGATAATTTACTCTTTCAGAAATACATAAAGCTATGGCTGTATTATAAATGAGTGGAATTATAATTCTAATTGACTTTGACCCTTTTAATCTTGGATTTACTATCTCTAAATCCTTTCAAAAAAGTAATTCCTGAATGCAGTGAAGTAACCAATTCAGATTTTAAATATTATAGTGCCCCCTTGTGTCTCTTGTGTTAAGTGAAAATATAGCTCTTGAAATACAGTAATTGTCATTCTAAGAAATACTTCAATGGAATCTCAGAGATCAGAACTAGAAAGAGTCCCCAGAATCGTAAAGGTCAGTACGTTTATTTCACAGAAAATAGAACCGAGTTACTGAAGGTCATATAACTTGCCTAAGATCACATGCCAGTCAATAATAAAGCAAATACTGTCAAGTAGAACTTAAACTTCTCAGAATGTTAATTTTTTTTTTCAGAGACAGAGTCTCATTTTATTGCCCTCAGTAGAGTGCCCTGGCAGCGTCACACAGCTCACAGCGACCTCCAGCTCCTGGGCTTAGGTGATTCTCTTGCCTCAGCCTCCCAAGTAGCTGGGACTACAGGCACCCGCCACAACGCCCGGCTACTTTTTGTTGCAGTTTGGCCGGGACTGAGTTTGAACCCGCCACCCTCAGTATATGAGGCTGGCGCTCTACTCACTGAGCCACAGGCACTGCCCCAGAATGTTAATTTTTCTATTAAAATGGAGAAGGCACCTTGGAAGAAGAGAAATGATGAGGCTTTGTAGTTGGGCTCATCAGAGTTTGAATTTCAGGTCATTCCTTCCTAACCTCCCCAAGTTCTAGTTCCCCCTTAGGACTAACAGCTATTGCAAAGATGTTGAAATTGTCCAGTCTGACAGTGTTCGTCAAGCCCTTTGCATAGTGATCAGTAATTTAACTATAAAAATAACTATAACCATAAAAATATACAGGAAATTGTTTTTAAATTACACACTTAGAAATCTCTGGATAAAGACATTCTAAAGTACTGAAAACAATGAGTTTAAGGCGTTTAAGTCTGAATTTTTTTAATTTGGCATAAAATAAAGCTAATGCCTATTATTCTTCAATTACTTTTTAATTTCTTTTTTTTTTTTTTTTTTTTTGAGACAGAGTCTCCCTTTGTTGCCCTCGATAGAGTGCCATGGGATCACGGTTCACAGCAACTGCAAACACTTGGGCTTAAGCGATTCTCTCACCTCAGCCTCCCAAGTAGCTGGGACTACAGGCACCTTCCACGTTGCCCAGCTATTTTTAGAGACAAGATCTGGAGCTGGCTCAGGCTGGTCTCCAACCTGTGAGCTCAGGTAATCCTCCCTCCTCAGCCTCCCAAGTACTGGGAATACAGGCATGAGCCACTGCACCTGGCCCAACTACTTTTCTTAATCCAGACAAAGTTGTAACAGAAAATACCACATAACAAACCCCGTGTGAGAGATGAGACAATGGACAGGACCTAGGATGAAGTTCAGAGAAAAGCGAAGTGCAACTTCATCAGTACCACGGTGTTAAGTCAGGTTCCCCATCTCCTCTGTCAAGGGCTCTTCACCAACGCAGGGGCAAGAGAGCCAGCCTGAAACGCTGGAGGCAGGAACTTTCCTTCTGACCTTGACAATACACGATTAGCTACGTCAGCTTGGGTGGTCATTTTATCTCTGTTTCTCCTTCTCCGTCTAGAAAGTGAAGTCACCTTCTACCTCGGAAGGTCTGATGGTGAAGGTATAAAATGAATGTTGGAGAAACACTGTAAACACAGGAGTGCTCGATAAAGTAAGGTCAAGTTTCTTATCTTTAAGGCAATAATAAACAGTAAGCATGTCACAAAAATGGAGACGACCTTAGAACCAACCAACCTTAGACAGGCGGAAGCAGCTTAGACTGTTAAGCCGCACGCTGCTCCCCATAAGCTATCTCCTCCCTCCCCGGTTCCCCCAGCTTCTGATGGCGATCACTCCAAAACTTCTGGTTCCACATAAATCTTTACCTTTTAAGTCAACTTCACTCAAGGACATTGATAACGCTTATCCCTGACAGCATACCACTAAACAAACAGATACTAGCAGGCTAAAGGCAATTCATCTCAGATTGCTGCAAAAACGACTAATATTGATTATTCTCTGATTCGGCTGCAGTAATTCCCCCGTAGTGATGGTGGTGAAATGCTGTCAACGGGTCTGTTCTGTTTCTACAGGTGGCCTGATATGCAGAGAAGTGTTACTGCTCCAAAAGACGGCAATAAAAGTGGTGGACTTCTTTTCAGTAAGTGTGTGAAGTAGGCGGCCATAAGCCCCTGGGAAGCCTCTTACCATACTGATAAGCACAGACTGGAGACCCACAAATACTAGCTGATCGCTTACTATGGGCTGACGCCAAAATAACAAATGTCACGAAGGGATATCACCGGAGGTGACAGGGTAGGAGAAGAGGGAAGGTACTGATGTAAAGAGATGACACAGTCACTGCTGTCTGTGGAGGTGGGGCACAGTGGTTGCAACTGTGTGTAACGCGCGCCATGGAGACTTCTCGGGTAATTATCCAGAAAGGAGCTAACTCGAGCTCTTGGTTCATTCCAGCAAGTGTACCGCCTTTGCATCCAGAATGCTGGAATAAAAGTGCGTCGGAAACAGAACAAAAGATGCAACTGCACAGAAACAGGAGCCGCTCACCGTGAAACACGCTGTTGTCGGCCAGAAAGTGCCTGCGGTACTGCACACAGCGCCTCTTCTCCGAGCTCCAGTAACTCATTGTCCGAAGGCTCCTGGCGCAGCATCAAAACCAAATTGCCCTGTCAAGGGAAACAGAATGAGACGAAAATGAAGAAAACGGCGGCCACACGCTCACATTGGTGGCAAATGCCACCGGTTGCCCAGCAGCACAGGGCAACACATACAGCTTAGAGCTTCTCCTCGGGCAGCACTAGAATCTTCCAGGCCCTATGAAACAAATTCCCCACAAGTCTTCCCAGGGGCTAGAATGTCATTTAGCTTATCAAACTGCACTTTTCAGGGCTCAGAGTTACTGCTGTCCCCAGGGAAAATATATCTACCATCAGGGAGCAAGTTTCAGGACTGGTTTGTGCGCTCCAGGCTTCACCCCTGTTAGGTCAGGGCACACACCAGGCCATGCCGGGAACTTTTCAGGAAATTTTGCTTGCAGGTGAGGAGGCGACTAACCGAAAGGAAGCTATCGTTCCAGTTGCCGAATTTTGTGTTGGTGCACTTTCCACGTGTCCGTGGCCAAACACAGTCACAAATCATGCCTTTCTATTTTTAGTTCATTATGGGTGTCCATTTAGGATTACTAGAACCTGCATCTACCCGGCCGAACAGGCCTCAGTGGGGTAGACCAGCAGTGCCTATGCTCCCTACCACTTGGCCCTCCAAGAGACACAGAGAAACACAGGATGGCTAGAGCGAGGATTTGAAAGGCAGAGATGTGAGTTGATGAATTAAACTCCTCCAAAGCCGATGTGCATAACCCTGAACAAGCCTCCTTTGTGCACAGGATTTGGCTAAAGCAACTTTTCAGGATTCCAACCTCCTTTCTGTTCACACGATACAGCCAGGCAAAACCAAGCGAGGCTGGCGTGGAGTTAAAACCCACAGGTGGGAAACAATTTGTCGTCTGTCCTATTAAAGCAATCTAGAGTTTTGTAAAAGTACCCCAGGATGAAGTCAGCCACTTAGCAAAAAAAATAAATTATCAAAGCACTGTCTATTCATTAAGAGAACAATTGGTGAAGGCTCCTGGAGCTTTGGGGAGCTTCTCCTGGCGACCCTGGCGCCCATTCTTAACCATCCCCAACCAGGATCTGAACTCCAATCTGTCCTACCTTAACTCTGCCTGCAGCCTGACGCCCTGCTTCCTGCCTCCTCCACAACTGGCTAAATCTGACCACTCACCCTGCTCCCTGAGGCCGAGGGAGACTGACCACTGTAAGTTAAGTTGTAAAACACAACAGAAAATAGCCAGTTATGAAAACAACTGCACTTGGGCCCACCCCTCGTAACACATTCTACAAAGATCTCGTCTTTTAAAAAAGTATTTTTAGTTCCATAAATAATTCATTTGAATACATATGTTCATTAATGTTTTTAAAAGTTCTAATAACACTGAAATTTAAATTTTTAAAAATTTTAAAAGGACTCTCTTCTTCCCTCATGTCATATCCCTCTCCTAGAATGATCGCTTTTGTTTGGTGTGTATTATTCTGGTTATTTTCCTTTAACTTTACATATCTATACATGCATATAATTTGAAGATTTCATCTCATCAGGATCTGCTTCTGACACCACTTATCAGGGCCTCGACTGGCCAAGTCTCAGGCTTAGGTAAGTTCCATATGTGAACTGCTAAGCTACCTTGCTCAGGAACAGTTTCTCTTAGGTGCTTGAGGGCTATCTACTTTAGATAGACAGAGAGAGAGAGATCTTAGAGTAAGGCAGTCTTCTTAGAACACATAGATCTTAGTCTTTAGCAGAGAGATACCATGCTGGCGTTGTGCAGGCAGGAGAGGAGACAGAGTCAGAGTAAGCGTGTCTGTGATAGAATGCGCATGCCTTCTCCTCCAGACTAATATAAGGCTGCCAATTCACCAATGCTCTCATCTCGTGAGCTCTCATGCTTGTTTGGAGTGCTAAATCCCTCCCCGTGCCCTTTCCACCAAGGTGTTCCATTACAGGTATTTCTTATAACTCTCTCCTCCTAGCCATAGGCTATACGGGCTGCTACAATGTGTTATTCAAGAATTAGAAATAATTTTAAGTAATAACAGTAGTAGCTATTTC